GTGCCCTATCCCCGAATTAAATGCTCCTCTTTTTTTAAATTATTACATGTTCTGCCAGGTTCATATGAATTCAGCAGAGAACTACCTTAAATACCCAAGAAAATGAAAAGTGAACTAACTATAATTAGGTGTTAATTAGGTGCTAATTAAGTGCCCTATCCCCGAATTAAATGCTCCTCTTTTTTTAAATTATTACATGTTCTGCCAGGTTCATATGAATTCAGCAGAGAACTACCTTAAATACCCAAGAAAATGAAAAGTGAACTAACTAATAATCAGGTGCTAATTAAGTTCTCTATCCCGAATTAAATGCTCCCATTTTAAAATTATGACATGTCTGCCAGGTTCATATGAACTCAGTAGAGCAATCCTTAAATAGCCAGAAAATAAAAAGTGAACTAACTATAATTAGGTGTTAATTAGGTGCTAATTAAGTCCCTATCCCCGATTAAATGCTCCTCTTTAAATTATTACATGTTTTCTGCCAAAAACTCAGCAGAGAAGAAAATGAAAAGTTAACTAACTATAATCAGGTTGCTAATAAGTTCTCTATCGCCGAATTAAATGCTCCTTTTTTAAAATTATGAGCATGTTCTGCCAGGTTCATATGAACTCAGTAGAGCAATACCTTAAAATAGCCAAGAAAATGAAAAGTGAACTAACTATAATTAGTGTGTTAATTAGGTGCTAATTAAGTGCCCTATCCCGAATTAAATGCTCCTCTTTTTTTTAAAATTATTACATGTTCTGCAGGTTCATATGAACTCAGCAGAGCACTATCTAAAAAACCCAAGAAATGAAAAGTTAACTAACTATAATCAGGTGCTAATTAAGTTCTCTATCGCCGAATTAAATGCTCCATTTTTAAAATTATGACATGTTCTGCCAGTTCATATGAAACTCAGTAGAGCAATACCTTAAATAGCCAAGAAAATGAAAAAGTGAACTAACTATAATTAGGTTTAATTAGTGCTAATTAATGCCCATCCCGAATTAAGCTCCTCTTTTTTAAATTATTACATGTTCTGCCAGGTTCATAATAACTCAGCAGAGCACTATCTTAAAAACCCAAGAAAATGAAAAGGTTAACTAAACTATTTAATTAGGTGCTAATTAAGTGCCCTATCCCCGAATTAAATGCTCCTCTTTTTTTAAATTATTACATGTTCTGCAAGGTTCATATGAACTCAGCAGAGCACTATCTTAAAAACCCAAGAAAATGAAAAGTTAACTAACTATAATCAGGTGCTAATTAAGTTCTCTATCGCCGAATTAAATGCTCCTTTTTTTAAAATTATGAACCTGTCGGAACATGTAATAATTTAAAAAAAAGGAGCATTTATTCGGGGATAGGGCACTTAATTAGCACCTAATTATACAATATGTTTGATCGTGCTCTGCTGACCTTGCTCTGCTAGGTTCATGGACATCTCATTACTTCAAGACTCCTTCGCCCAGCAAGCCGCCTCGATCCAGACAGCAACAGGACTCACGCAGTAAGTTATCCAAAGAGGAAACCTCAGCATTGTGCCACCTCTGAGAAGATCTAGCCACGAGCAAGTCTTCTAGTCAATCTAACCAGCAACCGCATATCCCCAGACTCCCAAGAGACCCCGTTCGGTGTCTTTTCTCCCCAGAAGACTCTTTCAAACAGCAAAGCATTCGAAGTAGGTACTGTGAAGTATGACTTTGGCTGGGGTACGAGAAGAAACGGATTCAAATATGACAGCTACTGTGGTGAGAAGACCAACAAAATATTAGGATTGGATGTAATGAGTTCCTACTGCCGTCGATGTGCTATGAGAAAAACATCTGAATATGAGTGCGCGAGAAATCATGATGGCATTTCGAAGTCAATGGAGCCACGGTCTCCAGTTAAACTGACCCTCGAGAACCCCAACTTGGTTGAAGCTGGAGTGCGAGTGGAGCGGCTCAATGGTGACAAAGATGCATCCACGGTTTAAGGCTCGGACTCTAACCTCACAGGTTGTGAGTTCGAATCCCACAACTTGCCAGTTTTTAGTGGTACAGTACGTCTCCTAACTATCTTGCTTCGGAGGACGAGTGACCCCTGCAGTCACATCACACAGAGGGCTGTTGATGCGGCCTGTAAACTTCAGGTTCCTATGCCACTCATACGATACGATGCGATACCTAAAGAAGAAAAATGGTTTTTGACTTCAGAAACAATAGAATATATCAAGAGATGTTTCAATAATGCCATCAATTAGAACAAAGATGGCAGCACTGTTGAATGTTCCAGCACATGCTTTCTGTGAGCACAATTCGTGTGGAGATTGATGCAAAGCGAAAGCAGATCCAGAAAAACTACAAGGACAAGAATCTACTAGGAATGCGGTCTCTTTTCGATCCCTGATCTGGATGCACTTATTGGAGAGCACGTTGAAGTGGCAGATCAGCTTGCTCCAAGAGCACGATTATTGTGGCACCAGGGCATTGAAATACAGGGTGCCTGCCGTGGTCTGAATCAAACAGCTCGGTGTTGACTACTGTGAGCGTCTATTTGAGATTGACCAACTGTCTCCAACTGTAAGAAATTTCCGCTCATCCTGGAGCAGCGACGGGTCAAGAAGGGAGCTGTACAGGAGAAGCAGTGGAGCGTGCTGTGGCAGTAACAGTAGCCGTTTCTGAAACCACATTTTGCTGGCTCTTTTCTTTTGGAGTATAGATAACTGTTTTGCGTCCAAAAACTTTCAAATGTTGCACATTTGGTTTCCGCCCCGACCAAACCTCTTCAGGTGCTTTTCTTTTCAATCTTTTACATGGTAAACGATTCAGCAACTACAACGCAGAATCCACAGCTTCGGCTCCATACTTCTTCCCAAGATTGGAATGAATCAGCTTGCATCTCGCTTTTTCTATTAAGGTCTTGTTCATCCTTTCCATCAAGCCATTCTTATCAGGAGTATATGATGCAGATTACAACCATATTGTCTGTTCGTAGAATTTTCATTTGGTAACCCGTTTGTTTTCTTGCCATATTCTTGACGTGTTCAATTTTGTTTGGAACCAAACTTTTGCATATTTCAAGAAATACTTAAACAAGTAAATACCTTGAACCGTTCCACAAAATTTTCTCCATGGAACATTCTCCTCGAAGAGATTAATGTTCTTGCACATGCGTAAAGTTGCGCAAGAATCAAAAATCCATTCTTGGTCTGGACACTTCAAGGCCGTTATAGAATAAAATATGTTCTTGCCGTCAGGTTTCTTCTTGTCGAGCTCATTCTTAGGACAATTCGACTTGATATGTTCGAATTCATTACATGTATAACATTTGACGGTTTTCTTGAAGTCACCCAACAAATGCAGCTGCTTGATTCTCACTGAAGTTTAGTCGTACATCCTGAAGTAACCTGAACTCTTCATGCTCACAATCATTGATTGATACTTATCTGGAAGACCAGCCAACATTAATGTTTCAATCCATTGTTCCTTAACTTCCAAACCAACGCGGCTTAGTTTAGTTGCAGTTACTTCTATTATGTTTACAAATTCGTCCATCGATGAGCAATTCTCAAGCTGTGTTGTTATAAGCTTTCGTCGAAGACCAACTTTCCTACTTAATCCAGAACCTTCAAATGCTTTGTGAAGACTATCCCAAATTTCCTAGCGATTTTCTATGGCAAATGCGAATAACGCGGGATCAAGCTAAAAAATCAGCTTGGAGAATTCGACTAGCGATGTCCGAATTCATGACATCTATAACATTTCACTCGTGACGCATTTTCGTTAGAAAGAGAACGTTCGCACGATATTCAGCGTTTGATTTTGCTGAACCAAGGCAGTGTTTTGTTGAATAGACCTTTTCCCCATATTGATTGTCTGGGCCAGCGAGTTCTTTTTCCGGGATAATTTAAGAGTTCGCGTCAAGGAAGGGTAGAGAAAGGGGGGTAAAGAAGAGATCACTAACAACCGTCAAGCAGAAAGGTTATGCAAAAATAAGAAAGAGAAGGATCCTCGGTCAATGCATGAACCGGGTGCGTTGGCAGACAGTTACAAGTGCTAGGAAGTGTTGAAGTATAAATGTTACGTCATCTTCAACGAACTCTTCTGTGTTATGATTGTAGATGGGTGATATAAATGAACCGTTCCAAAAATAACAATGGCTTACGGACTAAACGGGAAGAATTTACTGAAGTAAAACTGTTATTTTGAGGTGCCAAAATTCAAAAATTAAAGCTTCAAGCTCGGTTCGACCTTTGTGTCCGAAAATATTTTTGAGCAATTCGAGGAAATTGTCTTCTATTATGTCAATCCTTTTGTGATTTCCTCCAACCACCAGAAAGTGAGATCAAAAGTAGAGGTTTTAGAGAATCATACAACTAAAAAAGAAATTCTGAATTTGTTCTATGTAAAAGCAGTTTTAGGGCAAAATGTTTATTTAGACTGTGAGATAAATGCTTTTCCCAAAAATGTATTTCTACTAAACCGACGGAATTGCAAGTTTCTGATCCAAAAATTTCATTTTGATAGACCTTAAAGGCTTATATGTTAGATACAATCAGCATGTTTGTTTTACCTATCTGCAATGACGTAGAAGAGGCACTTACTAATTCGTTTTGCTTTATTTATTTATTTATTATCCCTCTCTTGTTCTGAAAGGAAATTTCCATCTCTGTCTGAGGTAAAAAGTTCTTACCTCAGCCCAGGTTCGAACACCCGACCTCCAGCTATGCAGTAGATCACTGAGCTACATAGTCGGATATCTTGCAATTTTCTATTCGATATCAATTGATGCTTGACTTTTTTACGTGATAAACTTGTATTTACAGTATCTGTTGCCTTTGGACTCGAAAGGAAACATATTTGTAGTATTGATTTAGGCTTGTATATTTTCAATACAGAATCCCACTATAAATAAATATTTTCCTTCGTTCCAATGTAAATACCTATTCAACACCCATCCGCGTAAAGGTGAAATCGATTAATTGAAAGTGCCCCCTTCACCCACTTTCCACTGAAATAAAAATTCTTACCTCGCTCTCCTATGATACGACGCATATTCGAACGGATATCTCTTGAGAAGGTCGTGAATGTTTTCGTCCGACGGAATTTTCTGTTTTACGCAAACGGTAAGTATCGACGCTTTCGTTGAGCACGGCGAATTTTGGTGTGTAGATAAACAACTGAATAAGCTACGTCGGTCAGCTTCGAGAGCTCCCAACCCCCGATCTGATATGCAGTATTGTTCGCGGATGTCCTGCTTGCTGTACAATGGAGTTCCACGTCTACCTCGAGAATGGAGCCGACCCATATTTTCATCTTCTGATTCATAGCTTAGCGCCGTATGCTGAATATCGGCCTAGGAAGAAAAGAAAACAATTCAGTATTTTGTGAGGCTTTTTTTTTATGTGACTACAATTACGATTCATATCTCGTATTGTTCGTCCGTTTGCCATCTACGTTTGAGTGTCTAAAATTGGCAAAAATCGATAGGGATGCTTTTGTTTAGTATTCAGCGGTCGAGAACGTAGATATAGAATGAATAAAATTGCAAGGGTCCACTTGAACAACGCGAATGGGACGGACGATGTTGGTAATTTAATGGTATTGATGTTTTTCACGCAGTTTCGCTGTATAACGGAAGGATACAAAAAGGAAGGACACAATTACTTAAGTGCTTGCACTTTGTTTCAATGGAAAGTATAGAGTTTCGAAATGTAAATAATTCATTTCGGCATAATTTGTTTAGCCTTGGCTTCGTGTACAGTTCCCTTGTTTGAATTATCATACTCGAAACTTTTCCCCCGAGAATTCTTGTAGGCCGAACATTAGCATGAGACGATCCACAAAATATTACTTAAACAAATTATGGTAAAATGACAGGATTAATTGGATCTGGGTCAATAGTCGTAAATTGCTTCAGTGAAACAGAAAAGTGGTGTACTCGCCATTTGTATTTACATCTACTTGAAGTGTATTTTACTTTAGGTTGCCTGATATTTGCTATACAATCCTCCCTCGACGATTGTTGCACATTCATCTATAATTAGTCCTCTTATTTAAAGGTTATCAACGAAGAGGCTTATCTTTAATTTTCTTTTTGGGTTTTAATTTCCAGTTATAATTTCAACTTCTGATTTTGGATTCAAGTTTTAAGTTCAAGTACTCAATTTAACGGACCAGTTTAATTTGGGAGATGCTTGACCTGCAAATCTATCGGCTGCCAAAAACTTTTGACACATCTGCTAATAAGAAGCCGCCATTTGCTGAAATTGCATCACGTGGTCATGCACCAGATCTGATATCATGGATTCGTTAATCATGAAACAACTTCCGTAACTGTTTAGCGTAATAATGAATCATTATTTTGCTTCTTTAGGGTTGTAAGCTATCGCATGTCATTAAATTGTTCTATCGCTGTAGAAGATTTTTAAGTTTTTATTATGTGAGCTGGTTTGAGAAAAGCAGCGCCAACCCTACCTACCCGTTAAAAACGCTTGGGTCAATTACCGAGGCAACAGGGCACCTCATTGACTGATTTGAAATCGGTTTAATGGGGGCGACAATTAAAAAAATTGCGTTGGTTCCATTCTGACCTAATATAAATAGCAAAGCGCACAGTAAGCCAGGGAGATGTGAAACATCTATGGAGATGTACATCTCCTCTGCGCGTTTTTAATAGTTACAAAAGCAGAATTAGTTTAAATATGGACAATTAAATGACGCGGTTATCAAAGCGAAGATAGGAATAACAAAAAATTTCTATTGCATTATGCAAGTTGTAAAGGGCGGTTGGTTCCTGCATACGGTCTTGATTTTGTAAATGCATGTGAAATCATTAATCACATTCATTTCCAACACCTTGTACTTTTTCGATATTTTAAGTTTACTACAATTTTTAAACCGTTTTCACAATATATTACGATTTTAATCCGAGAAATCCACCTTTAATAAAAGAAAGACGCCGCTTGACTGAATTATACATGTACACGGACGCGCTTTGTGCCTTAATAACGTGCGTTTGACCTGTAGTTCATTTAATGATCAAATGGGGCCATTGACCTTGGATGACTTCGAAATAAAATTTGACGCCGTAACAAATACTACAATGAAATGTGACCGCAAAAAAGTGGTCATTGACTTTGGGTGACCTTGGTTATAAAAATCGACACAGGGAAAACTGAGGCCATTGACCTTGAATAATCATGAAAGTTTTCCACAGCAACAAATGGGGTTATTGACCACTGATCACCTTGAAAATAGAACACGAAAACGCAAAAAATGAGATTATTCAACTTTAATAGCCTTGAAAATAAATCATGATGACATAATCTGGAATAGAAGTGGTCACTCGCGGCCGACGAAGGCATAGTATAGTATATAGTAGTAGTAGAAACCCAAAGAATATGCTTAAACTGGAGGACTAGGAGTGGTACACACGGACAGACTAACAAAGTGCGGACAATAGCGTACATTTTCCTTTTGGAAAATGCGCTAAAAAGGTGTTGATCTTTGATCACTTTAAAAATGAAAAAGTACAGCAGAAAAATGTTGGTTATTAAACTTTGATAATCTTGAAAATGAAGTAAACCGCAAAATAGTGCCATTGACCTTGAAAATGAAATAAAATGTGACATTACAAAAATCGGGTCACTGACCTTTAATGTGAGTAAAAATGGAGTCGTCGACCTTTGCTAACTGAAATATGATAATACACAAAAATTGGGCCATTGACCTCCGATGGCCTTGTAAGTTATTGTCCTTGATCATCACGTTGACCCATCTTCCAAGGTCATCGCCATGTGACACGCGACCTCTAATCTTCACCTTGACCTACTTTCCTACATTACCACCAGGTCACGAGCGACCTTGACCTGACACAGGTTCGGCATAGTATTGGTCATTGTGCGTTAAACCGCGAGCTGATTTGTGTTAAGAACCTTTGAACGCAGGGTGTGTTTGAATGGTGTTAGAAAAATTCACGTAGAGCCGCGAGCGAATTTAAGCTAAGCACCAATGTTAATCGCATGATGAAATCGTGTCCAGCCAGTGAAGTTCATTTGTATCGTAGGGTGTGTTATATTTTTGTGTGGTACTCTAATAACCTAGAGGGCGTATAAATCAAACGCGTAAAATTACGAGTTAGAAACTATACCAGTAAATCCCAATAGTAGTGGGAGTTTAAACCCGTGACATAAAGTTTGTGTGAGCTTAATTTACAGGGGGAAATTTCCGGTTTAAAAACTATTGCAATAAATTCGATCAATAGTGGAATTTTAACCCGCAAAAAATTAAAATCGTGTGACTGATTCATGTTTTTTTTTGTTTATAACGTCCAGGTACAGGCGATTATGTCTCAATATTTTTTGTTAAGTATTTTATTCGAGTAACAGTTCATTCCGTGGTGTTTAATTCAATTTTCACGTCCCAACAGAAGAATGTCATGTCCGTCCTAGCCTATTGTTACCGAGATTCGAAAGTGTAGCGAAACGTCCGATCATTACAGACCACATATATACAAGGCAACTATATTTTTGGGTGAAACCGTACGTTAATTAACAAATTTACAACTTTTAGTCTAGAATATGAGAAGACCCGGATGCTTGACGTTTGGAACCGTTGCTTTAATACTGAAGCTTACAGCCTGAACGTGAAAACTTGAAACTTCAAGTCTGCAGCTTGAACTTTTAACTATAAATTTTAAGTTCGACACCTTGAAGCTTGTATTTAAAGCTTAAACCTCGAAGCGTCACTTGCCTTGAAGCGTAGATTTGAACGTTTGAAACTTGGAGACTGAGGCCTGATGCCTTGAAGTGCAAATTTAAGCACCAAATCCCGAAGCTTGAATTTTCAAGCCCGAATTTTTAACCATGGACACCACAACTCAAACTTTGAAGTTTGAATCTTGATTCTTGAAGCCATGAAGCGTCCATAAGGGCACCATATAAAGTGAACATTTGAGTTTCGTCTTGTAATTTCCAAAGGTTTTCCGTTCTCTCCGGCCTTTGTTTTCTCAATCTCTGTAACGTATATGTATGACTCATGTTGCCAGCAATCTTTCTCTGCCGTCTTATCGTCCATGAGCCTCCTTATTTGTCGTTTGTCCTCTTTTCTTGATACCTTTTCTCGTTCCTTATGTTATTTTCTTCTTCTCCTTGTCCATTTTGGGGCATTCTTCGGTTTTGCTTGGGTTTATATTCCCTTGACTAAGCGCTTCGCCAAATCCTACATTTCTATTTTTTCCCCATCTTTCTATATTTTCTCAACTCCTCTCTTTGATCTCCTTAATTTTTTCTTCATATTCTTTGGGTCTATTCATGTTTTCTTCTTTACATGTTGTTTGTACCTTCTTTTGTGTTATCTCAACTCTTGTTTATCTCTCTTCCCCATTCTTTCTTTTTTGGGGGTAACGAGAGCCGTTCGGGGCCTTGTCCTGATGCATCTATTTTTCTCTTTCATCTATTATTTCCTTTCCTCTCTCCTGTATCCTGTTTCAATGTTATTGCATTTCTAATATTTTCCTTCTTCTTTCTACACCCTTTCACTTCCCTTCCTTCCTTTCCAATCGTTTATTATCTGTCTATATCTTTTTTAACGTTAAAGTGCTTGTTTTTCACATTTTCAATTTTAAGATTACCTACACAGACTAGTGATTCAACTTTGTTATTGTTCTTTCTATTCCTTTTCATTTATTCATTTTGTGTATAATGTAAATACCGATCTCGCTCTTCCTGTCGTGTATGTGTAATGCTCTCCTCTACCACCCACCATGTTTCCGTTATTCTCCATTCTTTCTTTGTTTTAATTACTAATATTCTCCCTCGTCAGGTGCTCTCTTGTCTGCCCTTTTCCATTGATACCTGTTTTATTACTGTTTATTATTTTTCTCTTTCTCTCCTCTACCATAAATTTCTGTTATTTTTTAGATACCCATCTACACCCTTCCGTTCTGCATACTCTGCATACTCGTTGTTTCTTGCTTCTCACTTTCAATTCCCTAATCAACTTGAGAGGTTCCACCCTGTATATACAACTTCCGACGATACATACATTTTTGAGAGAGCAACCACGCAATTTCTAGGTGGGAAAAAAGCTGCCTGCGCCATCTAAAAAAAGTACGAACGTGGGTTACGTTTGGCATCTTGTCTTCAGTAGCGGTTTGTTGTTATTTTGTGTTTTTTTTATGCATGTGGTAATTTTTGCATTTCTTTATATCGTATTTGTGTTTTGTATGCCACATTTTATATTTTTTGTGTTTGAGTCTTTGTTTTTGAAATTTACTTCGTTTCAGCGCAATGCATAATCACATACGTGATACCGTTATGCTATCGTTTGTAATTGTTTACGTTTTTTGTGTAATGCTTGCTTAATTTATGTTTATTGATGTTGATTACTTGGTCTTGTCCCCGAAGTCATATAAGTTTTGATCATTTTATTTTAATATGTGGAAATTACCGATTCGTTTGATGTATGTACTGACTTGTTGTTTGTAACTAACCATTTCCTCCGTGAATGAAGCAGTCACGGGGGTGGTAAAAACTGTAGTCAAAATTGAGCAACGACACCGTGATTCCGTGATGGTCTTCGACTTTCAACTGCAGGCTCGAAACCTCGAACGAGGGGCGACGCTACCTATCTTGCGGTGGCGAGATTATGCTAATCAAAACTCTTTGGTTTAGAATCTATGTGCGAAAAATGAGTTGCGATTCGTAATTTCACCATATTTTGCTTTAGTTAAATTTGCCAACAAGGCCATGTAATTTTCCATCTTGCTTTTAACAAATGGACTTTATTGCAACAAAAATGAGTCACATCCTGTGTATTTCACCCTTTCTTTTCTATTTTTATTCGGTGAACTACCATTTTCAAAGCTTATTTTTGCAATGTAATTTATTTCGACTTGAATTTCCGAGCTTTTACAATCAATAATAATTGCGATCATTATTAAACAAACTTTTCACAATTTCAGTGTTTTATTTTATGTTCCTTCCCTACTGTGCTTCAGGTCATAGCGTTGTTTACAACTAACGTAAGGGGGTTCTGCCTTAGATGTTTTATCACGTGCCACTTTTCAAAGTTAAGCGGGATCTTGTTTAGTTTTGGAGGGAATAGTCATTCGGGTAGCCATTTTTAAACGTTGCCGGGTTGACTTTATTTCCGTGTTCTTGTAGTGTGAAGTTAGTGTAGAACCTGGGGGTTAAGTACACTACAAAACTGTTTTCTACGTTCAACTGATGTTGCGCCAGAAAGGTTACTGTTATTGGTTGCAATGGTACATAGCAACTCGTAAGCAGAATATGACGCGTTGGGTGCAGATACTCAATGTTCTTTGTTTTTTTTGTTTCTTTTATGGCCTTTATTTTATAGTGGGTGGAGTGTTAGCAATTTGCTACTCTTCCCGCTCAACCCACTATACAATCAATTTCTGGCGGGAGTCTCTCAAATGTGGATTGGGATATACTAACACGGCAAATAGGCGAGATTTGTGTGGTGTAGGGATATGAATGAATGATGACACCTTCTCAGGATTTACATGCCGCTTCGTCAGACTACATGTCTTTGGGGAAGTTAGGTCATCAAGATAGACGCAGGCAAAAACACTGCCAATCAATCTGTCATGTAGATGGAGCATTGTGCAACTCAAACGGCATCCTAGAACATTGCAGCAGTAGTCGATTGGAAACAGGAACTTTTCAGTAAACCCTTTTAATGTTGATCGAAGTCATCCACGGATTCGGTGACGCTCGTACGATTCCATTAGATAGACGATCTTTTGCATGACGCAGGTCATGGATGACACTCAATTGCCTCCAAAAATGAGCTTGATGTATTAGATCGTGTGGCAGGTGCAGTTTACCTTCTAGAGATTGTGGCAGAAACGTTAGAATCGAGGACATCTTGAAATTGTTGGTCATTTACAACTTTTAGGAAAAATTATGTTGTTTTTCACGTAAAACATCAGAAAACAAACTCGCCAAAAATGACTTCCCTTATCGCGTTACTAGATTGGAAGGGTGGTCTCATAAAATGCGATAGAAAAACGAGATTTAAAGCTTTAGGTTTAGACGCAATTTAGAACTTCGGATATCGGGTAATTTTACATGCACCTCACCTTATACTTGTAACGACTTCGAAACTACGTACCTTAGTTTAAGATTTCATGGAGTATAAGTTTGTATTGTGGTGTTTCAAAGAACGTGACAATCGCGCTCTAAACTGTACATTTTCTACTTCGAAACAAGTAAAATGGGATAAACAAAAAAAGAAATCCTATTCAAACTTTGCGCAAAGACGTACGTAAGAACACGAACCTACTGCAAAAAGAAAAAGGTATTCCAAAGACGACACTTTCCATAACTATAAACAACCTTTAAGCATCTAATCCAAAAGGAGTTTGTCTTATTCTCGACAAAAAGTTTTAAGGAAACAAACAAGAACGTATTATACAAAGGGGGATGAAGGCATTACACGACGACAGGTTACAAATTTTCGTAGATGTCAGCAGGTAAATCCTTTAGCTAGAGGACGGGATATATAAACAAAAAACTGATACACTGTTCCTGTACGTCTAACCCAGCTGTTTTCCAACTTAATCTCTCCTTTCTCGACGTGACATATTTAAAAGACGGTGTTTAAATGGAGGCTATACGAATTCCCCCAGGAATTTTCAATCACCTCGAGGTGTAAAGAGCAAACTGTATTAGTATTCAACAATGAAATTGAATTTCCATGTTCGATATCTATTTATGAGGCTCGAGGGAAAACGTATTCAACGTTCGATCGAGTACATTTTCGTCATTATCATGTTCAGTAATTAAGAAAAAGAGAAATGTCTTTCATACAATTCGACCATTATACTAAAAGCGGTAATCAATATGCATAGGTTCATTGTTATTAGGGTATG